TGTAGACCGAATCTTTCGTCTCTAGGTCCTAAAAGGTCTCACTATGAGATTTTGGTTTAAGGGTTATACAAAGAGTCATATATTTCATTCCAAAGTCCTACCCCCCAAATAGGATGTCTCTTGAGACGTATTCCTTTTTCGAAATTCCACTAACTCTAAGTGAAGTCGTCATATAAACTCATAGGGCTGATGTATCCCCTTGGCTAATAGACGAACGTTCTTTCTAAGGTTTTTATGAAAATATTTATTTTTTAAAATAAAAATGAAAATCCCAACATCAAAAGAATATAATACGATAAAACAAATAAATCAAAATAATAAATGAAAGAAAATAAATAAATAAAAGAAAAAAATTGGAAACAAACAAAAACCCTAAACCTAAGAGGAAGGCTTCTAAACCATAGGGTTGATCTCCAGCAGAGTCGCCAGCTGTTGTAACCGATTTTGAAATGAGAGTCACCACCATTAATTTTTATCCTAGGGAAGGGAATATAACGGATAACCCTAATTTGGTCAGAGATTCTAAGTTGTTTTACTTGTTCTTAGACGAAGGGAATGTGTTATACACCCCCCATCTATCTTGTTCACAAGGATACTAGGGTTTAGAATTACGGCTTAGGAAATAAGGTTTTGATTTTTATTAGGGGAACTCGCCACAATTTTAATCGTATGCCTATGTATCCTCTTCGGAGGAATCAAAGTCCCAATTCGTAGTTCACAGTTGGTTGGTGTTTTTTATGGATACGAAGATATTTGGAATTCTCCTTGAACCAAGCCTAGGTGTGTGAATAGCGGAATTGTTAGACAAAGTTCACAGTCGATTTAAAGTATCTTCATAATCCTTTTTGAAAATTATCTTGGATTTACATAAATTATTAAAAAAAAAGATTTGGTGTTTCTTAGGTATTTTTTTAAATGTATTAATATATAAAAATCTTTTTAATGCATGACAAAAATAATCTTAATGCAATAAAAGTATTTGGATGGATTAGAAAAATAAATATTTTATTTTTATAATAATAGTAAATATATTAGAATTTATAAATATATTAAATATAAAATATTAGTTATAATACAAAATAAATAAAGTAAAAAGAAATAAAATAAAATAATTAATAAAATGCAGGGGGTGTATTTTGTTTGGGCTAAGTAAATCAGGGGGTGTGGAAAGTAGGGACCTTAATTCAGATATTGATTTCAGGCCCAAACGCATGAGGGGGTGAACAATTGTACATGGTAGTAAAAATGGGGGTCTTGTTTAGAAAGGGTTCCCAAGTTCTGATATTGAACTGAGCCCATAATGCAATAGAGGATTGATTTCTTAATGTGATAGCAAAACAAAAAACACAGAGGGGTGTGATTAGAGATGGGCTAGGCCCAAAACAGCTTCCTGATCCAATGGACGAGGTGTGGGAGAGGACATGTAATTATGATGGACGGGCACTTTTGGGTCGTCTGATTTTGATCCAAGGGTTATGATAGGAAGCGGGCGGTAAGGTTCATGGAGTTGCAGACATAAAATTAGAGAGGATTTATAAAAACAAATTACTGGTCTGAGAGCCCAGTTTTTCCTTTCCCTTCCTCTCTCTACAACGACACGATCAAACCCTTTGTTATTTCTAGAGAGAGAGAGAGAGAGAGAGAGGCTCTGCCTTATCTCTAGAATCCCGCCACGGTAGAAATCGCCCATCCCAGAGCACCACCAGCCAGAAATCGCTTCCGCCAGCGGCTGCATCTGGGAGCCACCACCCGCCTTCAAACATGTACCATAACCACCATACATCTTCATATGGGTTCTATGAACCCTAAGAACCCTAAGGGTTCATGATGAACGCTAACCAACCAAAACCCATAACACACAATAATGATGAACCCTAACCCTGATCTTCAAACAACCGAGAACCTAGGTCTATGTAGATGAACCCTAACCCTAGGATCTAAGAACCTTAACCCTAAGTTATAACCCTAACCCTAGAAACCCAAATTTTCCAGAACCGCAACAATCAAACATCAATCATGCAAGCGTCCAACAATAATTAATAATCCTAAGCTAAGTGTTTTAGATTACTTCTCCTACAGTGAAACTGGTCGAATAATTTTCCTTTCTGGTTTTCCGCTTCTCCTTCTAATCTCCTTCTCCTCTCTCTCTGTTTGACAGGTACGATGGTGGATGGTAGTGTAGAGGCGGCGCGGCGAAGAACTTTAGGGTTTTAGATATTGAAGCCTTAAACTTCTCTTCTTCTTCTTTCTGCTTCTCTGTCAACTTGTTTGTCTCAATTTTTCTCCCTTTTATTCTTAGAATCTTAGGTTTTTATAGCTTAGGTTAGATATAAATTAGGAAGTTTTTGTTTATGATTGTCGTTACAATTTGTACTTGATTTTAGGAATTAGGAAGATTAATATTTGTTTAGGTATTTGATTTGTTATAAATTGATTTAGAAAGATTTTGTTTGAAATTAGGGTTTTGTAATTTGTACTTGGACCTTGTTATTGTGTAGATTCGTTTTCAGTGAATAAAAACAAATATTAATTTCCAGATTTGATTTACTCCAAGATTTAATTTATGAAGACCTTGATTCATTTTAGTTTCAAATGCATTTTTTCTTGTTGAATTTGTACAATGCACGTTTCCTGGGCTTTGGGCTCCTGTAATCTTGATAAAGAATAGCAGCGGCGCTGATTGAGCAATTAGGGTTTCTTCTAATTTTGACCCAAAAGTCAACAAAATATTGATTTCTAATAATAATAATGATGAATAAAAATAATAATAGAAATAATATTAATACTAATGTAATAACAATAATTAGTCAGACAATCATACCGATCTAATGGGATAAAGAAACAAATGGGCCAGCTTTTAAGATTTCTCCAAAAAACGCTCCAAAACAGTTAACATGGGCTTTCAAAAAAGTGATATGGGCTTAACTAAAAAAAATGCACCCCTCTAATTACAAGAAAAAATATTGGGCCAATGGTTTCAGAAGATAAGAACATCCCCTTGTTTATTCTAAACGAGCCTGACAACATTGTAATAGGCCTAATTGATTTCAAAAAACCACGCACCCCTCCTTAAAGTATACGAAACAATCCTTAATGGGCCATCAGATTTTGATGGCCCAAAATACCACACCCCAATATTGTAACAATACACCTCCCTTTTATGAATTTAAACCCCATAATAATTTGAAAATAATCCAAACCTTTATAAAAGTGATAACTTTAATAGGGACTAAATTGTTAGAAATCTATAGGGAAAATTTGGGGTATGTCACTTTCAAAGCTAGGTAGATATCAAGACAAGCCGTTGAAGATGAATCAACTAAGAATATAGTATGTTATGGTCATATGGTGCTGAGTTGAGAAAGGTTCTCAAGGAAACACATTCAAGTTGAACATTGGAAGACCAGCACCTAGCTTGCAACCAAGGTTTGAAAGGTGTTACAAGTGTTTTGATGGGACAAAAAAACATTGAAACTGACATATATACCATTCATAGGATTAGATGGATGTCACCTAAAGACTAAATATGGTGGAATTTTGTTGATTGCTATTGGGAGGGATGTCAATGACCAGTATCTTCTTATTGCTTTTGGGGTTGTGGAGAATGAAACCAAGGATTCATGGAGCTGGTTTATGAAGTTACTTCTTGAGGACATTGGTGGTGATAGCAAATGGTACTTCATTTCTGATCAACAAGGTATGTGTAATTGTCCATGGTTATTGTAGTTAATCGTCATCTTAGTTTACTAAATTTTTGTGTTATTATGTGTACAAGGACTTGTGCATGTACTTGAGGAAGAATATCCTGAATTTGAACACATGTTTTGTCTAAGGCATTTATATGATAACGTCAAGAAGAAGTTTGGAGGTGGTACATTGTTCATAGATCTCATTATAGATGCAACAAAGGCAACCTATTATGAAGCACATGAAGCTAAGATGATTCAAATTAAGGAGGTTAGTTTAGATGCTTTTGAATGGTTAAATGATGTACCCAAACATAAATGGGGTAAGCATGCATTTCCCTTTTACTTTAAGTGTTATGTTCTAATGAACAATCTCAGTGAATCATTCAATGCAACTATATTGATGCAAAGGGACAAACCTATTATAACCATGTTGGAGTGGATTAGGAACTACCTTATGGGTAGGTTTGCTACAATTAGGGAAAATGTATAAAACTACAAGGGTGAGATAATGTCTAAACTACTTAGGAGGTTAGATAAAGAAATAGAAAAAAAATGAAAATTGGTTGCCAACATATGTAGGGAGATTAACATTTCTAGTAACACATATCATGTTCACTGATAGTTTTGTTGTAGACTTGGCAAAACATACTTGTTCATCTAACATTTGCGATTTGGTTGGGATCCCATGTAGACATGGTGTTGTTGCAATACATAGGAAAGTTGATGATCCCACCAAGTATGTACGCAAGTGTTATCATAGGGAAACTTATATATCATGCTACAATGAAGTTATCACACCCATAGTCAGGCACAAAAAAGGCCAACGGCTATTGATCCTGAAATCTTGCCACCAATGTTCAAGAGAGGTCCAGGTAGGCCAAAGAAACTGTGCAGAAGAGAACCCGACGAGGCATCTCAAACAAGATGGCAAAGAACAAACACAAGCCATATGTGTAAGACATGATTAGAGTATGTGCATAACACCAGAATATGTAAAAAGAATAAACAACTTGTATTTGTTCCTGGTGAATTTCCAAGGAATGTTGAAACACCCACTCAAGGAAGCCAAACTCCAATTGTGCAGACAAGACCAAAGAAAAGGGTTAGTATCACTTATTCTTGACACAATTTCTTTTTTACTATCATTTATTATCGGCAATGACTTGTCTCAAATTGCATTTGTTACAGGGTAGGACCAAAGGGAATTGCAAGAAGGGAGGCCCAAGTAAAAAGATAAAGACTCCTACAATAGCTCAATTATAAGATCATTCACAACATGCTAAACCTGACAAGGCTTCTACTCAAATTTCTATGATTCATGCAACAACTTCTAATAAACCTACAACACAAGTTTATATTTGTTGTGATGAGGCAATAAGAAGGTATTATGGGATAGATCCTGAAGCCGTGGAAGCACTGTTGAATGATAAAGACATACTAGACATTGGACCATTTAGTGTTTATACCAGTCTTGCAAAACCACCTGTTACTGCCAAACAGCCTGCTACTATTAACCCAATCAGTTTTGATACCATTACTACAACACATATTCCTGATACTATCAAACCAATGCCAACTGTCAGAATATTCATTGGTGCAAAACCAAAAGTTTCTAAGTATACTATCAAACCAATGCCAACAGATACTGTCAAACCAATGCCAACAGATACTGTCAAACCAATGGCAACTGATACCAAAAAGGAAAAAGGCCAAACATCTACTTACAAGCTAAGTATGAGTGATCATGCAAGTTATTAACTAATACTAATTGGGGTTGTTTGTTGTTTTATGTTAATTACTTTAGTAACATTATGTTATCATAAAAGGTGAAAAGTATGATACCAATAAAGAAAAAGACCAAGCATGTTGAAGTTTCAAAAAGAAAGAGTTATAGACTTACGAAGCTGAAAACACATGACGTTATGGGGGGCTGGGAAGCATTCGGAGGATCCACTTATGACTCCTGAAGAGGACATAAATGTTGGTAGTGCTAAGGGGAAGAAGACTTGGAATAACATCCACAAGAGCTTGACTCAGTGAATTTATGTTATGAAATATGTGGTTTTTTTGTTTAGGACACCAACCTTATGTAATATCAAACTTATGTAGTATTTTGTTTGGAACACCAATATTATGCTATATCAAATTTACTGTGATGGATTTCTGTTATGAAATATGCTGTTTGGAACATCAATGTTAGTATGTTGAAATACATGGTTTGCATATTGTGCCAATTGTGCCAATTGTGCCAATTACTGTCATCAATGTTGTGTTATTTCATATAGACTATGGTTTTCCAATTGTGCAAATTGTTATGAAATGTTTGCAATCAAATTGTAATGATATGATTGCAAATTTCCAATTTGTGAACATTATATACTATCAAATGTCATGAATATGATTGCAAGATGTTGACATTTCAAGTTAATTCAACTTTGTTTGCAAATTATGTAATGTGAATTGGACTGTCAAATGAAAATTGTGCTTGCAAATTGGACTGTCATATTAAAATTAAAACAAACTATTTCAACACCTTTCATTAACAATACCAAAAAGAACGAGACTTTGGGGAAAGAGAATGAAGCTTTGATGGGAAGATGAGCGAAGATGACAAAAAAATGAAGCTTGATTGAGGAAGATGAACAAAGAAGATGAAGCCAGGGCATTAAGTTAGGTTAAATGAAAAAGTCTCAGGCTTCAACTTGTTTAATGTTTCTAATTTCCACAAAGTCATTAGATTAAGTAAAACAAATTTTCCACCTGTACTGCCACGTCAGCCTCTATTATTTAACGTCAGGTACCAATTATTTAGATGAAATTTTTTGGAGGGATCAATCTTTAAAGAAAATTTTTAGAGGGAATAAAAATGAAAATGACTATATTTATGAGGACCAGTAACATATTTAACCATGAAATTTTGATGAATTTCCAAGGCTCTAAATTATAATTAGTTCAGGTAATAATACATATTTGCATCCGTTCTGTGGTTGCTGACGAGCCGCATTTTGCCAAATTGCATAAACAAAGATCATATTTTGCAATTTATCATCTTTTTTAATGTCATTAGTTGTTGTTGATCTAACATTTGATATGAGATTATGATTAAAACTAATTCAAAATTCAAAACAACAAGGTTATTTAGAGTTATGGTAAAGGAGAGTTACAAATTTGTTGGTCTGGTAAATTTTATAAAAGGCAAGGCGGGGCGAGGTTATTTTGAGTTATGCTAAAGGGGAGTTAAAAATTTGTTGGCTTAGTAAATTTTATAGAAGGCTTTGGGTGAGAGAAATTGATAGACATGGAAAATTAATTAGGTAGAGACGAAAGAGAGGACCGTATGACTAATGCGTCTACTTGTAACCATATGAGGTAATGTATCATATTGTGGATTTGAAGATTTCAAAGGAGGTTTGAAATAAATTGAAGACTCAATATATGTCTAACATGTTAACGAATAAACTAATCGCGAAGTAGGGACTATAGAGCCTGAAAATGCACACAACATCCAATTTCTAATGCCTTCAACAAAATAATCATTAATATGGCGAGGCTTTGGGTGAAGGTGATGATGAAGACAAGATAATTGTTTTGTTGTGCTCATTATAAAATTCTTATGACTTATCAGTGAATACTCTTACAAAAAATAAAATATAATCATTATTGAAATTACCGTTACACTCTTGTCTAATTCTCAAATGAGACGTGAAGTAGATGAAGAAACTTAAGCTGAAGGTATGTATGTCAGAGAACCAATAAAGTAGGTTTCGGAAAGAAGATGTATAAATCTAAGAATATAAAAATAATATAGTGCTTTAAATGTATACGTGACATAAAATAGTGTGATACGGTGGCAGAACCGACTGTTTTTGGAAAGTGCTGGTTTGCGTTTTGCGTTTGTGTTTGCAAAATATCGCGGTAAGCAAGAGTCGTCACCGAATTTTATTTTATCCAACTGGAAAGGAAAAAAGCACAGTAAAATTCCTTTTTCGAGATTCTGAGTACGGGGGTAGATTATAGAAAGGGAAGGTATTAGCACCCTTTCTATCCGTAGTTTTCTACAGGCTCTTAGGTACTTGCTCATCATTTTAAAATTTGCTTCTGTGTTTGTGTGTTTTGAAAAGTTTTTGTTTTACTTCATTTTAACCCTTGTATCAGTCCTCAAGAGTGTTACGAAGTCGTTTTGAAAACTTTGTTTGAAAAAAAGTGTAAGTGTGAAAAAGTTTGATTTTGAGCAAGTACCTACTAGCATCTACCTACTTGAAAAAAGAATTATTTATGTTTTTGTTTCCTTTAGACAATGATATCCTACTATTAAGGAGTAGGTAGCATCGTCGTTGGAGTTGTAAGGGTCAATTCAAAAGGGACGTATGATCACTAAAGCAATATTAGGACGTCTTAGTAATAACCCTAATGTCTTAAGATCATATTTGAGGCAACATTTCCGAGGCAACCTTTCCGAGACAACATTTCCGAACGGGACATTTGATCTTTGTTTAGACAAGATGGCCACCACTAAGACACCCTATACTTAATGATCGTTTACCAAAGGCAATCGAACTACGAGTATACCCTAAGAGTGCGCATGTGCGATTGATTTGATTTCAGTTATTATCTTTGTACATTAGGGTTTTCTATCTGTTTTAAATTAACATGCAATCTTGTCATATAATCCTATTAACATACATCTCACAGTTAATATTTGCGAGAATTAAAATGTGAGAAATAAAAAACTACGCTATTACAAGGCTTCGGGGAGGGGAATTAATTACATAGCCAAAAAACCCGTAAAACGATGAATAAAAGAAAACCTAGATTAAACTATTACATACCATGAGCAGTTACATTAATATTGCAAAAAATAACAAATGCGCGCGATGAATCGAGAACGAGAGAAATTAGGGTTTTGACCCCGGCTAAACCTAATTAAAAGAAAAATCATTTTTTGTAGTTTGTGTTATTTTGAGAAAATAAGGTTTAATTTAATAATAATAAAAAAAAACTAATTACTAATTAATTTAAATTAAGAAAAATGATTAAATTAACTTATTTTTTGTATTTTTATTTTATTGAAAAAAGAAATAAAAATTAAATCAAAAGCAACCCTAATTTTTCTAATTTGATTTTAATTATTTACAAAAAGTTAGAATTACCCTAAAATTAAATTTAACTAATATTAAATTAAATTTGATAAAAATAAAAACCTAAATCTAAATTTATGAAAATTGATTTTATGATTTTTTGTGAAAAAAGAAATTAATTTTGTGGTTAGAAAATAAATTAAACTAATTAAATTAAATAAAGGAAATTAGAAAAGAAATAGAATGGGCCTGGTGGTATGCTAGCAAACAGGGTGGTGAGACTTGCAATTCTGGGTCCAAAAGCGCCTGGCCCTGTTGACTTTCTCAATCTTGTGTGCACGCTTGACTGATACCCATGGTGGACTCTCAGGGATAAGGCATTGGATCTGCCTTGTTGAATATCTGTTGGCTGGATATTGATGGTGTATGGTGGATACCTTGGATGCTAGCGCGCCTGATTATGCAAAGAAAATAAACATAAGGCAAATATGGGGACCTGGGGATCGAACCCAGGCCCTTTGGCATTTTACCCTGCACGAAGACCATCTGAGCTAGCTTGCTTATTTGTATGAATAATGACAAAGAAATATAATATGGTAAAACAAAAAAGCATAATCTTAAAACGCGCACAGATTTGACTGGGTAAGTCAGGGAGTGACACATTGCCTTCTTCTTCCTCCCACCGTTTCTTAAAGTTCCTTGACCTTTACCATCAGTCACCTGGGCGTAGGTATAAGCCTATGTTTCTCCAAAATCCTATACAAACGTGATAAATACAAAACAATGGTACCAATCAACTCATGGCAACCTCACGAGCATCATGGTACCCTTATCCATGGTCAATTGTACTTGTGTGCAAAATCCCTAAAAACAAAGCTCGAACCCTAATCATGGCATCTTGGTATGCAGTCAATAAAAATGAAATTAAATACCACCATCAGCTTGCAAATGACTCAAGGATTAAGAATATGCAAATAAATCATGCTAAAGGTGCCAGAATTGTGATATTCGATTTCAAGAAAGTATGGATATTGTGGGATACTTACAGCGCATTTCTGGGTGTTAGAAAGCTTGCTAGTGGTTGAATCTTGATCCTTGGATGTCCAGCAAACGATTTGTGTGACTGGAATGGCTTGAGGAAGCCTGGAACTGGGAAATCAGTTGCAAATTTTCTTGATTTTTTTTAAATTTGCTTTTACCTTTGCACGCCTCCAATGCCCTTGTTTTTTATCTGAACATGTTCCTTATGTACCCTAGAAGGAATTAGGTTACAAATTTGCTTCAAATCTTTTTCAATTAAGATCATTGATTCATGATTTGATTCTTTGTGCAAATCTTTCCAAATTGAGCCAAATACAATCTTTTTGTGTCCAAATGATCCTTTCACGATTTGATTCCATCTCCAGCTGTATAATAGCCCTAAACATGCACAAAATCTGAAGCTTTGATTAGTTTTTGATATTTTCATGATTTTATTTTGATTTTATTTGATTTAATTGAAATAAAATCAAAATAAATGACAAAAATAAAATAATGAAAAATAGAAAGGATCATGGGTCGTGGGTCACATTACAAACTCAATGCAAGCATAAAAAGTTGGGCCCATTTGACAAAAATGCAATTTTGGGCACATTTGACATTTGGCAATTTTGCAAAAAAGGTCAACTTTGCCAATGCATA